GCTCTGAAGGCTGTCACTCTTTCTGCTGACAGGCGGGCTGTAAAGGGCACCAAATTCAGGTGTAGGCCCAGGAAGACTACAGTCTGGGCTGGGGACAACATGCTCTTTTCTGTGTTTATTATGAAACCCAGGTCGACCAGGTGTTTTACGAGGACATTCGTCTGCGTAATAGCCTCCTGTTCCGACTGTGCGAGAAGCAGCCAGTCGTCCAGGTAGGTTCCTAGGCGAATACCCTGTTGTCTTAACGGGGCTATCGCGGCTTCCGTACATCGTATAAACACTCTTGGACTGAGAGACAGACCGAAGGGAAGTACTCTGTACTCGTAACAGACACCCTGAAATGCGAACCTCAGATATTTCCTCTGTGGGTAATATACTGGGATGTGGAAATACGCATCTTTCAGATCGACTGATGTGAACCAGTCGTTTTGTCGCACGAGACGTAGCAGAGATGTGTGAGTGAGCATTCTGAATTTNTATTTCGAATATCAAACCCCGACTAATCTAAGTCGGGATCAAAACGACTATATCCGAATTCAATCAGCCCCTTGTAGAATGAAGAAGGAAGAGAGACAGATATGGACACATGAGAGTACAAGGCTAATTGGGTCGAAGGGGTTTAAAGAAAGAAAAACCACAGATATATACGGCCCTAGGCCTCAGTAACTACTAGGAGGTTTACATTGTAAACACTATAAGCCGATATATTTATTTGTGACTAACTAACTAACTCCCCGAACGGAGCGAGAAAAGGTCGGTGCTTTTATATAAGAGAAGTCTAGTACAGACGCCAATGACCCCGAGTACCGCAGTCGGTAAGACCACCATGCTGACCCTGCGAATGTGTACTCCCTCAAAGTCGCCGACCCATCGGCGGGAGTCTGATTTGGGGCGCGCAGTACCGCGGCGCCTCTCACTACCAGTGACACTTTACGCATTACCGTGACGCGGTTGACCGACGTGGGCTGAAAAGATCATGCCCCGCACGGATACCCACGACAGGATAGCGCCTTCCACCAGTGGTTGCTGCGTACAGACTGCCCGACCCCTTCCATAAATGGCTTCCAGCTGGCCACTCCCCAGAGGACCTCGTCTCTGGAGGTTGCCAGCGTGTATTTAATGGACCTCGAAAAATCACCACAAGGAAGTGGGACTTTGACTAAAACACCTGCGACACCAGCAGAGGAGAGAGACTCTCGCTGCGTGCATGGTCCTCACTACTTGGAGCCCCCGTCTGGACGACAGGTCTCCACATGGTGACATACGTCTGACCTGAGATGTAGGTTACCAACTCTCAGTCGACACCCACGCAATGCCCGGCTCGGCGCCATTTAGAAAAGCGTAGTTTCCTTTTACGAGTAACAGGTCGGCAAGAAAAAGTTACCGCGCTAGAATTGCGTGGCAATCCGCACCTGGCGCGAGCGCGTGCAAACCGGAGGCCAGGAGGACATTGCGCAAGGGATGGGGTCCGAAGACTATGGGGGGTGAGACGGTGCTCACTTCTCTTGTCGCGGTGTGTACTAGGACTATCGAGGCGTGAACCGACCGCCTCTAAATAGTACCGACGACACCGCCTGTCGGCACCGTCGAGGGGGCGTCCCTGTATGACCGAGAGTTCCGCCCCCCTTGCTAGAAAGTGGGTGTGGGCCGCGGACCGGATTACCCGGACCGGGCACTCACATGTTGACTTATGTCACCCCAGAGGCGGTCTTCCACTATTGTGATAAGTCTCACGGTTCTCGAAGCGAGTGGTCCAATGAGTAGAGAGAGTTGTTGGGTCTTAAGCGCACTCTTAAAAACGGATAGGGTGTCTGCCGTCCGAACACAAACTGGAAGCTGATTCCACAAAAGTGGAGCTTGATAAGAAAAGTCTCTGGCTCCCATTGTACTTTTAGAGACTCTAGGAACAACCAACAACCCTGCATTCTTGGAGCACAATGCCCTAGTAGGACAGTAGGGTATAATGAGTTCTTTAAGGTAAGATGGCGCCTGCCCATTAAGGGCTTTGTAGGCGAGAAGAAGAATTTTAAATTCTATCCTGTGTTCTATAGGGAGCTGCGACTGCAGCCAGAACAGGAGTAATGTGGTCCCTTTTCCTAACTCTGTACTCGCAACAGACACCCTGAAAGGCGAACCTCAGATATTTCCTGTGTGGATAATCTACTGGGATGTGGAAATACGCGTCTTTCAGGTCGACTGATGTGAACCAATCGTTTTGGCGCACGAGACGCAATAGAGACGTGTGAGTGAGCATTCTGAATTTGTATCTTTTGAGATATTTGTTCAGAGCCCTCAAATCTAGTATAGGCCGAATTCCGTTCCCTCCCCGCTTGGGAACGAGGAAATACTTGGAATAAAAGCCGCTCTGACTCTGTTCTGCGGGTATTATAGATATAGCCTTCTTTTCTAGTAGCGAGAGAATCTCTCGCTCCAGAATATGGCTGACTCTACCTGGGCTTGTGAATACAGAATGCCCGAGAAGCGAGGGGGGGTGACAGCGAATTGGAGCCTGTAGCCCCGTGTTACTGTCTTGAAAACCCAAGCAGAAGCTGTGAGCATCTTACACCTTTCGCTCCTTAAAGCGATCGTAGATGTCACGTCTCGGTGGTGTCTTCACAGCTCCTGCCGGCACTGCGCATGCGCGTGGCGGTGGTGCCTTCACAGACCCGTCTATTATCTGCCTTTTGAGAGAGGCCGTAGCTGCTCTCAAAAGAGGGACAGGTGACAGACTGTTTATTGTTTTTATTGTTTTTCTTTTCATTTTTTTGGACTGCGCCCTCGGCTTGAAGCCTGGATGCGACAGTGAAAAATGGTTTATTCGAAAACAACGGTATTTGTGACATGTGTTTTTGTGACTTAGGCAGATAGCAGAACTCGCTGTCTCTGGTATTAAGTCCGTTTCCCTTCTGGCGCGAACTTGAGGATGGCGTTGCGGCATCACTCGAGGCGGCGGGAAGATGGGGGCCTGGTGGCACCCCGAAAACACATCTGGAGCTGGGGAACAGGGAACTTCCAGCTCTGTCACCGAGGAGAGGAGAGGAGGCAGTCAGGCCGCCCGCTTCTTCTTCCTCGACTGGTGACTGAAAATCTGAGTCGGCTGTGCCTGAACGGCTGCTGCCGGAACCGGAGATTTTCTCGGCCAGCTCGTCCTCGTCTCCTGCCTGGGCTGGGAACTCGGGGCGGGCTGTGGCCTCTGCTGCCTCGGTACCTTGAACCGGGCAGGACGTGGCAGAACGTGAGGCAACTTGGGCGAAGGACTGCCGCGAGACCGTCGCAGGTAGCGGCTGGACCCTTCGGGGGAGACAGAGGTGGAGGGCCTCGTCTTCCTTCTTTTTCGACTCACACCTCCGCTTCATCGAGACTAAAGCGGAGCCGAAAATACCCTCGGGAACGATAGGCATGTGGAGAACATCCTCCTTTTCCCGTTCTGGGAGGTTGGTCAGGTTGAGCCCTGGCTCTCTCCTGTACCACCATTATGCCCATGACTTTGCCCGTGGCCTGGACTGCACAGCGCTGCACACGGAGGCAAATGTCCGTGATCGCTGCGATCTCGTCCCACACGGCCGGCCCAGGTTTGCTCGACAGGTCCTCGCAGAGCTCCGCCTGGTAGGCGGTCAGCAGTGAGGATATGTTGAGTGCCCTGGCGGACAACGCTGCGGCTTTATAGGCCCGTTCCGTCATCGCTGACTGGAATCGGTCTGCCTTCACCGGTAGCGTGGGGTTCCTGCTTGGTGTCGGAGCCAGCCTCGGTTGGAGGTGGGCTGCCACCAGCGGTTCCATGGGCGGTATGCGGAGCAGGCCGAGCCTCTCCATACCGTCACAGTCCATTGGATTGGGGCCTTATTACTGAAGGGGCGGTCTCTCCACGAGACCGACACCTCGTCCAGCATCTCCGGGAAGACTGGAAGGAGCTGCCTCTTTGTCCTCGCTGCTTGGGGCAAAGTCTTCCCCTCGTAGCGAGACCTGGAGGTCTCCTTGGCCATTTCAGGCCATGGGATGTCCAGCTTGGACGGGCGGCTGACGTTGAACAAACGAGACCTGCAGGTTCCCATGCTACAGAAGGGGGCGAAGCCAGCCTGAGGCTGACGCACGAAGATATCATCTCTTGCTCATACCGGTCGGACAGGAGAAACGCAGAGGCATCCTCTTCCAGTTCCCGATGTAGTGCAAGATGTAGTCATTGCAGGACGATGCTGGGTCTCGTGGCTGAGTCCCATGGTGAAGTCGCAGTATATTAAGGACTCTCTGCGCAGCTGCACAGCCAGATCTGGAACAGGATGCAGGAGGAAATCGGACTGTCGCATGGCCGACTCATGGAAACGCTGTTGGCCGCCCACCTCCAACCGAGGCTGGCTCTGACACCGAGCGCGGAGCCCGGTCAGCGGGCTGCCCGCTGTTATGAGGCAGAGCCTCGTACCGGTCAGCGATGACGGAACGCGCCTATGATTGTCTTCCAGAACGTTGCCCGCCAGCGCGTCAGCAATGTCTCTTCACTGTCTGACCGAGCAAGCTAGCCTTGGCGTGCTAGCGTACGCGGAGGCATCCTTGACCTGTGAGCGGGCACA